AGTCTCTGATGGGACTGGGTGGTGGTAGCAACTCTATCTACAGAGGTGAAGGTCTGGAAACAGAAAGTGACACTCATTGTTTTAATACAAAAGAGGGAAAGGATGAGGAAAAAGTGAAGTAAAAAACAAGATACAAAATAAATGCATGTGGAATCAAATAAAGGGAAATGGATCAAATTCACCTTTCAAAGGTAGATTCTCTCTATTTGGCATAAAAATCCAGGTATATGCAGCGTACCAGAACATACTAAAACAATAGATGTAGAAAAGTTGAAAATAACTATGGCACAAACCCTGTTTCATGTTACAAATATTTCTCGGTATCACGTGTTTATTATAATTCTGCTACAGATAAAATTTTCTATTTATGAAATTAAATTTAGCAGGATTTTCCAAAAGAAAAATGGCTTTATTGGTGTCTTGCTTAAAAGCATCTTTCCTACTCCATTTTTTAAAAATTTGCATATACTTTCTTATAGTAGTTTTACAGTATTTTGTTAAATCCTTGATCCACATGGATTAGGATAAACACAATCTTGGATTGTGATAAAAGAAATCTTGGTTTCCTTTGCCTGTCTCTAGCCCAAAGAGCCCAGCAAAACAGAGGCTGTGGGGGCCTGATTACTCGGCTCTGGGTCTCTGCTCCATTTTTTAAAAATTTGCATATACTTTCTTATAGTAGTTTTACAGTATTTTGTTAAATCCTTGATCCACATGGATTAGGATAAACACAATCTTGGATTGTGATAAAAGAAATCTTGGTTTCCTTTGCCTGTCTCTAGCCCAAAGAGCCCAGCAAAACAGAGGCTGTGGGGGCCTGACTACTCGGCTCTGGGTCTCTGCTACCGCTACTTGTCTGGTGTGTGTGTGTGTGTGTGTGTGTGTGTGTGTGTTTGGGGAAGTGGATACTCCAGCATCACTCATTAATAACTAGTAATGACAGACCTGAAATGTTGTCTTTACCATATTCTAAATTTTATGTATTTAGATTGATTTTAGAATCTTACTTTTATTCACTGATCCCTCTATTCCTTTAAAAAAAAACTATTTTAATTAAACTAGCTTTAGAAGAACTTTAATATCTGACCGATCTCTATCTTCTTTATCATTATTCTTCTTCAAAATTAATCTAGTAAGTCTCATAGGCTTATTTTTCCAGATAAACTTTAGCACAAGTTTCTCTACTCCTGCCAAAGAAAATCACTATATTAATTAAAATTACATTAAATCTCCACATTAACTTTAGCAGAAACTTGCAATCTAGTGTAATTAGCAGTGTCCAGAAAACTTTCGCCTGCTGCAATTCTGCCGTCCTGAAATAGGAACTTCTTTTCCCCGTGGTGGGAGAAGGTAGAAGTGGGGAAAGCGGTAGAAACCTGTTTGCACTATTTTCCAAGGCTCTCCCTTTCCTGCTTTTGTCTGCAATGCACACGCCTCCTGCTTTTCGTAAACCTTTACTTATGCAAAAGAGTGTTATTACATTCCTTCATTTGTGTCTGAGAAACCTGAGCTCTCTGGACAGTTAGGAGACTAGCAGGCGTGGCTCATAGATTTGAGCACGGACCTATGAACCAGGAGGTCACGGTTCGATTCCAGGTCAGGGCATATGCCCAGGATTGCGAGCTCGATCCCCAGCCTGGGG